GCTGAGCTGAAGCTGAAAGAGTCATGTTTGTTGGCAGATACCGGCTATCTGAATCAACACGTTCAAACAACCTCTTTCTTTGTGCCGCTCATCCATAGGTTGAAAATGAACGGGCAGTTGCGGGGGTCCTATTTTGCTGTTTCCAGACGGATTTCACTGCTTTTTTGCCATTGGCGTACCATTGAGCAGCCAGGCGTTTCCTCTGAACCCCTCCGAACTATCATAATCGCTGCCTTTAAGCAGCGATGTACGCCTGCCGATAACTTTGAACTTATTCTTTGTCTCTGACAGTTGACGAGTCTTGCCAACTTTTTTGACACTCCGCGATCATACTAACATTATTTTGCTGGAAAATGGGTGTAAAAGTGCGATGTGGAGCGGTAGTGAAGAAAAAGGAAAATGAAGCATTGAGCACACTTTCAATAAGGCTCCTTTTTTACGCAATGAAGTAGATAAGAGAAATACAGCAAGATAAGAGCACCCAGATCTGATGGCAGGAAAAGCAATCGTATGATGAGAGAGCGTAGATGTGGTTTATGAAGTCACTGCGTCGGTGGAGTCCAGTGCTGGGTGAAGCCCCGTGAGCATTTTTAGGCTCAGCACCCTGTCTGGTAACTTAGTGTGACGACGTAAGCACATCCTATTGACTTGCTTGCTGCTCTGTCTTTGTTGGGTTGCGGCTTCGCTTCGATGACCTGCGTAGGGTGCGGACCTGCTGAGGGTGCGGACTGACGCGCAATTGGCAGCGAAAGATTTGACCTCGGCGATCTAGCATGGCTCACTCTTGGCGCGTTGGCGGGGTACGCCCACCGACTATCTAATCACTCGCCGCAGGTCTATACGTGGCGAGTGATTAGATAGCAGAGAGAGCGTAGTGTTGAAGCACAGCGATGAGAGTCGCATCAATGCTCAAATCAACGGGCAAGGAAGGGGTCCCATTTCTCGGGTTCTGGGCCGTTTCTCATGGTTCTTCCTTCTTTCGTGTACCACTCACCATCCCTAGGTTAATTTGAAATGGGTTGCTTTTTCATCGTGAATTCGTCCTTTAAGATCACCAGATTGGTCCCCCGGTAACCGCCGGAACCACTCTCTGCGTTCCCTTCCATTGTGGCACCAAAATCCTTGGAGGTGACGCGTATGCGCACCAAGGTGCTTCGTATTACAGATAGCATCACAACAGTCATGACATGACGCTATGACATCTCAATACTTAAGTGATTTTTGGTTCTGTTGAGCAATGGTTTTCTTGTTCCTTTCCTTATCCTCCCTCTCCCTCCATTGCTCTCCAGCTGCCACTGCAGCACCTTGTGGAATGAACGGAAGTGTGCTAAGCAGGTGTTTATATAGCCCTGAGAGTGTTATCACAACTATTACAAAACATGATGATAGCTCAAATCCTGTAAGCTACCCGATTTGTTAGCGGTTTGTTTATCCCATGAGCTTCCTTATCACTCACTTCATTTTGCGGACGGACACACATACATACATACATACAAACCGACACACCAAGTTAGCGGTTTATATAATAGAAGGATCGTTCGATATCGTTTCGCTGCTGCCTTCATACCAAGTAGCAGCATCCTGTCTTAACCTGTCGAATCTACTATAGAGCAACCCTTGTCCAGCGACACTATTTCGAATATAGCTTGTTCAAAATTAAAGTTAACCAGCAAATTCGAGACCAGCAAATTCGACCCAAGAAGGGTCCAGTTTCTTTGTTTCCAAGTATTTCGCTCGTTGCTTCTTTTCATCTTTCCATGTAACTCTATTTTCATCTTTCATCTGCATCAAATTATCCCGACTACTAGCGTTCGCCATTCTCATAAGAATTTATGAATTTTTGCTGTAAGCGCGTTCACTTGGAGAACTTTTCGCTCTCCGTTATTGGTTCTCCCTACTATGATCAGCCAATAAGGTTTAGACGTTCACACTTTTTTGGTAAATGGGTATTTGCGGAGCCGATTTGTGATTTTTCGTTTCGACCCGCCCCCGTCTCCTTAGTGCATGCACCGCGACAACGCATTCTTTCCGAAACCTATCAATTGATGTTTCACCGCAGACAACACAGATCGAAAGTCTAGGACTGAGTTTATGATTGAACAGTTGTATTTGCCATTGTTAAACTCTCTGAAAATGGGTTTCCACTGGTGCTTCAATATATAAGCGCAGGTCTAGCGACATAAAGCAACAAATTGGTCATTGATTATTTGAAAATGCGCTTTGTTTCCGTCTGGAACTGCCGAGTTAACGCTATTCAGTGTATAAGATGAGTTGGCTATGCCGATGAACTGGCTTAGGCAGCTAGCGTTGAGTTCGTTATTTTCATTCTCGGAGCAAGATTTCTACAACTAGGTGACAACTGCTGAGAGGCTTGACTATTGTTTAAGCTTAAAGGCAAAAGTCGGGCTCAATAAGGGGGTATTATGGCGATTGAAACTGAGTATAGAGATGCGAAGTGGAACGACAGTGGAGAAAAAACTGAGAAAAACCGTCGACAAGGCCGTTAACAAAACCCTCTTTCCCACTAGCAGTGAAGGAGGCTGGCTTGGGAAAGAGGCACGTACAAACAAGTTTTCTGGAGATGTCAGTCGTTCTATCGGTTGATACGGCAATCAACCTAGCTGATTTCACACGTTATGCCAGCCACGCACCACTTCCGGAGGTGGGCGGTCCTGGATTGACCAGGCGGCCCTGGATTGAAACCGAACGCCCCGGGGCCTTAACGGGGTTTTTCAAGGTGGGTTGCTGGCAATGTGTGCAGCTACCCGCACACGTGCAGCTACCCATTACAACTGCCAGGCCCGGGATGTTTCTTATCTACGTGCCTTGAGCCCAACCTTTGCCTTAAATCCACACATCATGCAAATCATAGTGAATCCTCACACCATTACACCTTCCTCCTCTCACTAAACGTTTATATGGAATTTTTTTTTCGACTCGGGTCTGGTGTGGCTAACCTTCCCAGTTCGACTTTTCCACACTTTACTCTTCTCTTTCATTTTTTTTGAAAAAGTCTTCTGTTAACTGACAGATAGTCACTCTGATCCAGATCCATGATATGTCGACGGTTAATCCGTGCCTCTGATTTTTGTATTAGAACTTGTATTAATCCAAGCTCCTTGGTGCTGGTTCTGGATATTTGTTCTTTTTCTTCGCATCTTCTGCCTAGTTAAAAAGCTGAAGGACGTTACCATATGAAGATGAGAAAGTCCTGAATCGTGGTTCAGGCTCACGTATTGTGACAGTGGGATCATTAAGCTATAACCACAGTGCATCGCGAGCGATTCAGAGTTGACCATAGACAAGAATATATATTGATGCGTATTCCTTCAGAACAGAGCCACCGCAAAATGATTTCGTTAACGATATTACCACCACCTAGCTGAAAGGGAGTGATCGCGATAAATCCAACGGAGACGAATGGAAAAGTTACATTGTAGAATTGGACAGGAGTCCTCCCAGTGATAGTTGACACTTCAGAGGCAGTGGGGGGTTAGCAGCGGCGTGATAAGGTGCCGAAACCTATTTCCACCGCCTAAATCTTGCACGTGGATGGGTCGCTACGGCTGCATGGTTTACGTATGAAAGTTATTGTTCTCGTACGATTTCATTACCGGTAGATAGTTGTGCCTAGGCATCATCGAATGGTCTTCCTTCGAACCTTACCATTTGGGAAGCATCCATCTCAACTCTTGTCGCGAGTGCTTCGATTGCTAATGAGTGGCACTGTCTCTACCTGGAGCCTAACGCAATCGTTTTTTAAATGGCGCTTTTTAGCAAAAGGATCTGCGAAACGAGGAGGGCAAGGGATTGAATCACGCAAAATTGGACCCTTGAATTTGTGGGGGTGAAACTCCAGTTCGGGGGGGCCACTCCATTTTTTCTCCAATACTCAAGATAAGGATTAGAGGGCTCACGACACGTAATCGACTCATTTAAAGTAGACTTCTGATAAATATTGGTGTAATGGGTGAGAAACCCTGAAACGTTTTCACATTTCCGCCTGCCATGACCCAAGGGAACGGTCCTGGACCAGGAGAAAGGACACCTCCGCAAAGGGCTAAGGGTGCAGGAGCTCCAGGGTGGATCACCTGTGCAGAAAAGTGGATGGGATGTGGGCAGGTAGTGTGGAATGTAGGACATCCACCGGTCCTTATCAAAAGTACGCTCGAAATGAGTCGTTCACTTATTATCTTATCCGTAGTGTTCGATAGCCCAAAGAACTGCTCTCTAGTACTACGGATAAGATAGCAATGGAGTGGCCCCCCCGAACTGGAGTTTCACCGTCGTACTTTTCATATGGAGCAAGACGAGTTTTCCTCGGACGTTTCAACTCACACACAGCCACGTAATCCAACGAAAATCATACACTGCTAATCACGTAATACGCAGAGGTAGTAGCAGACGGCAGATTGAAGTGAAATGCTCCTCCGAAATGAAAATTCTGCTGCTACCGGCTAAACTTGTGGGTGGAGTGGCATTGCTACTTTACGACTTGTAATAGGGTTTGGGGCTATACTGCCATGCAACTCGCTCAGCGCTCGCCACAGAACGCTAGATCTTGCTTTTTACCTCGTGGCCACTGTTTCCAGTCGTGCATATGCTTCCCCGGTGTGCAACCACTTTATCACAATCACTGCCTTTAAGAGCTTTCTAAAAAGTAAATAGCGTATAACTTGTAATTTTAGGTAACTACTCTGAACGCTGGCTCAAAATTCTGCACACTCGTTCCGTCAGGAATACAACAGGCTATGCAGGCGCGTAGAACTGAGACTTATCGGCATGTTGATGAAAGACGAGCAGATGCGGAAAGGTCAGCTCTCCATATTTGAATTTATCGTTGTAAGTCATTGTGTTAGTGTATCGTTTGCATTTTGTGCGAAGCTGAAGGAAATAAATCTTATAGAAGTCCTGACTATTCTGGTGTAATCAACAAATTCGAGAAGCTAATTCACTCTTCTGATACACCTCGTCATCTTAGCAGTTATTACTCCGTCAAATTGGCAAGGTATGTTCAACAGTAAAATGTCGCATGCGAATCGAGATCATGTTATGTAATCATTTCAATGCCTAATTCGTTTATCTTTATCTCTATCCAAACCAAGCCGTCCACATACTGATTCATACAGAAACGTTCTTCTGTACTAGTTGTGAATAGTCCCAAAATGTTCAGAAACTTTTTTCTAATGCGAATTCGAATGTGTTCGTGGTTCCAGGTTCCATTTGAAAACCCGGAATGATCGTCGACTGGCTGCTGAAAAGATCATACGAAGAGCTTTAGAAAGAGATCGAGTAAGTCGTTCGCCATTGTAGATGTGTAGTGGACTGTGTGGTCGTGTTTATTAGCGGTCCTAGTCACTTTTGATGTTGAAGTGGCATTGGAGGTAACGGGTAGTCAATGGATCGAATCCAATGCTCCGTTTCTTCACATTCTTGTGTTACACCCGCGGATGTCAATGTGTTTCAGGATAATATTCAACTTCTGTTGCAACTCATCGACCTTGCATTCACAAACCCGGAATTCTCGCAGGTATGCATCATTTTCATGTATTTTAAGCAGTTGAGTTTCTTCAACAGTAGTTTTGGCCAATAGACTGTACTGATACATTATCCAGGCAGATGGCCGCTTGATCTCGTAACGGTAGTTCTTTCAGTTGTTGGCTTTCATAGAAATAAGGCTACAGAGTTACATATTCTTTCGTGTTTTCATGATTGGTTCCACAAGTTTCGGCTACTCATCCAATGCTACTCGTACTGCAATTAAACCTCATTCAGCTGAGGAAGGTGTTTCTTCAGAAGCCTGTCGTTTGACTAGACCCCTTACCTGATCAGCTTCGCACACTACCAAGCCCGTTGCACGGTGCTCAAAGTTGTTCATCTTATGGAAATGAGGTCCCACAAGTCAATGTATACTTCCTTTATTCCTCCTTTCACCTTTACGGTATAGCCTACACGGTCGCATTTCAATGGTCTTTGTCAAAACATGCGCAGGTCCTCGGATTACCGTAGCATCTGCATCTGGCAGTTTGCAAACGTTACTCCGTGCCATATGCCCTAACCTCCAGTTAGGGTTTCAATCGTACCACTGTAATAGGAGCGGTCCGAACCCCTGTGATGCCAGGCGGTAGCTCATTCTGGTCACTAATGAGTCGACTGGCCTGTCTAGGTGTGCAGCTCTTTGCCTCTGATATACACGTCTACAAGCTACGTAAGAAGTAGGGAGCTAGAATACGTCCAAACCAATCACCCTCACAATCAGATTTCGAGTGCAAAGTTTATCAGAACGCTTCATGGCGTGCTGAAAATTGCGGCAAGCAATAGAAATTCTAGGAAATTCACTGAAACCTTGATATCAATCGTAATATACTAATCTCTATCAAGATGGGTACTGGAAGAATCACGCATGATTCCTTCGAATGTACTGGAGTTGTGGATTTCCGACCATACAATCGAAAATCCTGTGGGGACTAGAAGATGGGAAGCTATATGTCCGCAGGTGTTGGCGAGTTAGCATGGGAGTCTCAAACTCTAATTTCCCCAGAATATGGCCCAAGATCTTAAGATTCACAGTAATGAGGGGTATCCATTTCTTTTACATTCGGATTATTTGACCCATTCTTCCAGAAGTTGTGGCGAAGCGGCGCATTACAGCGGATTTAGTATGCACAGGAATTTGTCAATTTGGCAACAATAAGGGGTCGTACTATGTACTGGGTGTATGTATGAGTTACTTGAGTTATTTTGGGTAATGGGCAATTTTGAATGCTGTGCATTGGTTAGGCGATAGCACGGATTTAGACCCATGTTTTTACTTCACTTGCCTTCCAATCCACTTGTAAGAAGAAAATTTTTACAGAGATTACTTTGAGACCTAGTGGCAGCTTTTTGCATGAACAATGAAATAATTATGTTCTATACAAAAATAATACGAGTGTTTTACTAGTTATCCAGAATGTCAGTATCACATGCACACTACCATTAGTTTTGTTGCCTAGTTGCCAGCCGTAAGCTTTAGGTTGACGTGTTTAGGAAAATCCAATTTTCATAATATATGCTTCTCTGTTGGTTCATGAAAAAAAAACCGCTCAAGACGGGATGCTCAGCGAAATTCATCTTTCAGACAGCCGTGATCGAGGCATTCGACTTCGCAATAAAATCAAACATTTCCGATGCTGACAAATTGCAGTTCAGTCAGAGGAAGTTGGACTTCCTCGAAGATCTCTCTTACGATATCGATGTGTAAGTTATTGTGATTGTCGCCTTAGCCATTCCATTCCGGTGTATCGAGAGATGTTTCAGGTTACAAGAGCATCAAGACGCTCATGTTGCCTTATTGGCTGAGATGGAAAATCCACCAACCACAACACGAAAGCGAAGGTATAACGGCAGAGACGAGTCAAGATATTTCAAGTGAGTGTGAAGTATAAAAAATTTGGAAGAGATTTGAAATTATTCCGAATTTCCAGTGACAGAGATCGCGATGTGCCTTCTCGAAGAAGCCGATATTCGGATCATCGCGATTCCTACCGTGACAGTCACCGCGGAATGCGCGACGGTACCGGGTACTATGTGTCATCAAGCGGTAAGAAGCGTATAGTTCTCCTGTTACCATCTACAATGCCACCACTTCACATACATTCCACATTTGTAGGGAACCGTTCATAACAAGCCCTGGAGAGACAGTTTCGATTACTTGAAGAATGTGGTAATAATAGTCTTGCTTAAAAATCTCGGGTTTCTTGAGAGATGAATGGAAAGAGATTTAATGCTTCGCAGACTCAGACTAAGAACCTCAAAAGGGAGCCCCGAAATGGTGTGACACCAGTTTTGCAATAAACTTGTTGATTTTTTTTTTCGGAATTTCGAGTAGGTGTGAAAGGAGAAAGCCGATTCCGCTCATCTCTCGGCTAGTTAGAAGAGAGTTCGTGCTAATCATGCTCTTTTTGGATTTATAGCGGGCTCACTTCGGCGTTTGGCCTTGGTCGATGTATGATCTTCTTTTCCTAACCATGGTTCACCTAAAGTACTGCAGTAGACTGTGAAGTCTGCCTGTGTGTCTATCTATACTCCATATCTCGAAGTCAGATTGGGACTCTGTTTGACGTGGCGGCCGCCGCATTTGATGGAAGTTGCGCGGATAAGCATGCTCTGCTGATATCCAATGGAGTACGTTAGAAACAGCCTATCCTCACGGCTTTTATCAAGTGCGGCAAAGGCTACACGTCAAATCCATAGCCACGCCCTGATTCTGACTTCGAGATATCAACTGTAGCTTCCTGAGGGAAAATTTGATATTACCTCGAAGTCGAGTCAATTGAGATCGGCATGGAACAAGACTCAGTATGCGATTAACCAATGCAGTGCTCATCCACGGTGGGAGGAGTGTGCGTACAAATGGGCGCTGCTAAGAACAAAACATCGTTGGAATAAAAAGAGGATCAGCTGGTGTGATGGATGAGACATAAAATTGGGGTACGCTCTTCCATCTGAATGGTATTTGCCTATCTTTCCAGAACAAATGAGGACAATGACATGAACAATGAGACCGGGAAAATTCGAGATTAGCAAATAGGACGTGATTCTGACTCTTGATTCAGTTCCGCTCAACGTGAGCCGGATGCCTATGGTGAGCGGAGCTGAGTCACCAATGCATCCGAGATAAGCCGTAGACCGGGAAGAAGTGGGTAGGGTTAGCCCAGGAGGTATCAGACTTTCACTTCAACGGATGAACTTTCATAGTGGAGTTGGCAGCGAGGTGTGTTGGCGGCTAATATGCGGTTCACATGATTGCCTTTCAGGTCTAAACGCTAAAACTTACACAGTCAATTTCTGATACCTGTATCTTTAGTTTTATGTAGCTCTATTTCCTCCGAATACCCTTTTCCCCCTTCCTTTGCTTTCTCTCTTTTTGACAAGCTGTGCATTCTCGCTGGAAAATTTTCCGCTTCTGGGTTCTGTAGGCTAGCTGCTTTCTCATTTTGGGTTCTCTGCCATTGTCTTCTTGACGCTCTTGAGCGTTCCTTTCAATGCTGGACTACCTCGTAAGAAGAACACAAAATAAAGTCTTCAATGGGGATGCCTAAACAAATGAATGGAGAAAACTTATTCAAAGTTGCACTATACCAAAGCTGTTGTCTTTCAGCTTTGCCCTCATGCAATCAACTACATGCTGAAAAAATCAATGGTGGTCCCAGTAACGCTAGCGTTTCTTAATGGGTGAAAAAAAAAAAAAAAAAAAAAAAAAAAAAAAAAAAAATATTTTGATGGTGCTCATGTTCATGATTGTGAGGGTTCTTTCCCCCACCTTTTCATTTTATGTTTATGGAAGGAGCAGTTTCATTTTCTCTCCTATTCTTTTGCTTAGCAGAAAGTTCGTGCATGCAACCCCGGCATTTCATCCTGAACTACGGGGCTCCTAACATTCTGCATTTTCAGCGTATCCAGTGCAGCAGATGTACTATGGTAATCAAGGCTATTAGCAGTTGTTAATGGATGGAATGGCCTTTGTTGAAAGTGGTTTAGTCAAACGACGAGATATGTTATTTTTTGTTCGTTAAGAGTTTAATTAGTTTCTGGACTTTTCTATTTTCTCTCATTCATCGGTATTAAGGTAGTTTGTTGTAAGTTTTTTTCTACTTGCACATATGATGGTGATCCTCGGAGGCAAATTCTGTGATGACATAAAAAAACGGTTTTCTCTGCGAGTTTGACTTCGCGGTCAACCTGTCTTCGCTTCAAGGCTGGCAACGCTTCCATAGTCGAGAAAAGAAGGTTCAAGATGGCTGGCAGTGACAGTCTATTATAAGTCTCAGCTCACATAATAAACTGCCACTGCTTGTGATGAAATAAGATGAGATGTGGCAAAACTCAGATCTCAACGGTAAAATGCGAGTTTCATTTCGGAGCGCCCACTTCATCTAAGAATTTGCCTCAAACATTGAGTTAGCGATACTTCCGTTCCCTGTGTTGTAAACGTGCGAGATATCTGATTGGTTTTGTCATTCGGATATTCATTATTCGCACACGAAATTGCACAAAGACGGGACGTCTTTCTGTGTTCAGTCGACAATTGTTCCTGGTCGCATCAAAGCTCTGCCGAAGCTCGTCATGAATTGTTTAGTTGAGTGAAGTACGAGATTTTGAGTGAAAACAATGATAGCTCGTGAAACCATTCATTAATCGTAAGGTGGGAAATTAGAGATATCTAGCATTTTGTGGGTTGTCTTCGTTAGTTGTTTTCCTGTTTGGCTTGTTGGTATAATTATTCCTTTATTCATTGATATTTGTTTTGTTTTCACTCTGTCTTGTGTCTTGGTTCCGATCATTGATGATCTGACTGAAGCAAGACTTTTTTTTTCTATTTGCGTTCTTGTTATCTTACTGGTGTTCGGTATTGGTATACATATTGTTCCTTTTGTTGTGCTTTTCCAATTCTGGCATGGCTGTCTGCTGCTCCATTTTTTTTATCGTGATTATTCACATATTATTACAGATTTATTCTGGGAATTATGAATACTTTATACGCTTTGATATCTGTGCAATGTTTCTCCGATTGTCTATCTGATTATTGGTGTTGAAATGCGAGCTATTCTTTGTGTCACTTTCAGTGGTACTACGTGTCCAAATTAAGAATGGGAGCTGGTATTCTCATTCCGACATTGATTCATGTTTAAGTGCCGCCTTTTGGATTGTCTGTTGGATATACTTCTTCATTGTATACTGATAGCTACGCCTTGCCCAGAAAGCTGAAGCGAGTACAGAGTGCGAAATTTTCCCGGCGCTCTCTTACAATATTAGTAATACTAATACTACTCCATGCTCTGGCACGTTGTGGGATTCACTATGTGATTTGATTTGTGTTCAGTAATGTTGCCCTGGGAACCCACATTATGTTAGGCCGCGTCGTGAGAAAACTAATCACTTCATTATATAAACCAGAACTTTGGTGTGTCGGTTTGTCGGTGTGTGTGTGCGTGTGTGCGTGTGTCGTTCTGTCCGTCCGGACCGACCGCTCACAAAACCAGGGAGTACGAAGGGCAACACTTCGTGATGTTGATGTCATGATCATGATAACACCCACAGCGGCTATATAAACACCGATCGAGCACACTCAGTCTCATTCTACATGGTGCTGCCGTGGCAGCCGGATGAGCGGGGGGGGGAGGGGGGGAGGGGGGAGGGGTAGAGGGAAGGGGGCAAGAAAGGGGAGGCTGGAAGGGAGGGGGAGAGAGAGAGAAAGAGGGAGGGAAGGGGGAGAGGAGAAAGGGAGGGAGAACATGGCGCTGTCATGCGCCGGAGAGGAGGGTATAAGGAGGGGGAGGTGGGGAGGAGAGACTGAGAGAGAACGACCGTTTTCAAGAGTAAGGTCTATATTCATGTTGACGTATTATTCTAACCTGATGTGGTGATTGTGATAACACCCACAATGGCTACAAAAACACCGAACGAGCACACAGCCTCATTCTACATGGTGCTGCCGGGGCAGCCGGAGCCGGCGGGCAGGTAGAGGGGAGGGGGAACCAGAAGGGAGGGGAGTAGAGAGGAGGGGAGTGGGGGAGAGGGCAAAGAGAGGGGGAACATGGTGCTGCTATGCGCTGGAGAGAAGGGGTATAAGGAGGTATAACACATTCAATAGTGAGGTGGTTCCTCCCTACCCTTTGATGCGCGCGATAGCGGGAGGAGCAAACCTGGTAGTAAGATGTTTTGAAAAGTGCGCTTGTTTACCTTCAAAGGTTGTCCATTTCAGTGAGATTATGGCTTAGTCCCTAAAAGCATGAGGAATGAAGGTGGTGTTTATCATGACTTCTTAAATACAGCATTGATATCCAACTCGAATGATATAACGGTCTAACACCTTGACGACATGCTGACGCGCATGCGCGTCGGACATTTGGGGCCGCATCAGACATTCTAACGTTTTTCGTATGATCTATTAGTAAGTTCCGGATTTTTTTTTTCGGATGAAGTGCTAATCATCTACAGAAAATATGAAAGAATTCCCCGTAGTTCCTCAAGCGGGCTCCGTTCGGTTTCCGCGTTAGAAGCCCTTGATATTTCTGACCCCAGCTTTCCTCGTTTCAACCGAGATAGGTTGTCGTTCATGGTATTTATAAGCTCGTAGTGCAAGTTTACTGAACACAACTCTTTGCGTCGCTTGACCTGATAGTGTTGGACCTGTGAATCGATTCTGTCAAGAACTTCACTGAATTGAGTTGATACCCTTTTTAGCGATATCCAAGCCTCCTTCCTTATCGGATCTTTCTTACCTCTTCAGGAAGACCATTATGAGTACCACAGTTGAGAATGTGATGAAGGTCAGGCGATATGTCCGTCGGATACATCCGTCCTTCGGATGAAAGAAGTTTGGTCGGTGGCCGTTCGGCCGTTCGTTCCGCACTCAAGTGGAACCATTTACCAAATGAAAATCATGAAATCATGAAACCATAGAATTTATTTTATTTATTCTTTTGTTCATGCGCCAAAATGACGCACTCTTACACACTGGGTAGATGTAGAACACTAGAATCAACATTGAATAAATACTAAATAAATAAAAGAACAAGAGGATCGAAGTCGTACCATCTAACTGCTATCGTAGTGGGAAACAGCCATCGTAGTGGAAAAAAGTCCATCGTTAAAAAGTAATATAGCAGAAAAGAGACAGA